CATTTTCTGAGAATATTTAATTGATTATAATTCAGTGCAGATTGCGCCGAGCTACATGTACTGGGGATTTCCCCACGTGTAACTCTCGGCTTCCCAGTACAGAGTATCGAATTTCAAAAAGTCCTTTAAATAGGGCCCAAGAGATTAGCAGTAGTTTAAGCAAGAAGACCTGATAGTTAAGAAGGCTGGGACCTGGAAGTCAAGGTCAAGGGGGATTGTACTGTACGGCATTTGTCTGCGGGAATCTGACGGATGATATCTCTGTCCATGTTTGACGATAAGGCTTTACAAAGGATAGCACAAGACTGCAGCTGTCTGAACATTTTTGTCTCTCTGCAAAATGATGGATTTGTCATCTCTAAAATGTTCTCGGGGATGCGTAGTACATTTCACGCATTATATAAAGGGGTCCCGGCGCATCAGGAGTCACCAGTTCTTGTGAGCCGATCCGCCGTTTGAACACTTCGTCGAGGAGGGCTGAGCAACGTCGAGAGCCAGCAAAGAATGTTGGGGAAGCAGCAACGCCGTGGCAACGCATCCATTGCCGGGGGCCACTGGTTACCCAAGATGAAGATAGTACCTTCCCAAGTGCCTGCCTGTAGTCACAGTAAGACATTTGCAGCTCACTCGGTGAAATGAGTCATAAAAGTGTTTTTGAGTTTGCATTTGAAAGAGCAAACCGAGCTTTTTGTGTTGTGTCACTCACTCTAGCATACTGATAAAAAAGCACATTTGAGTGCCTGAAAAAATGTTGACAGATTCTGTTGTTTTCCGTAATGCAGGATTCTTACAAGGGGCCTGTGACTCAATAGTGGCTCTGGCAACTTGCTACTCCTTTTTACAGAGCGGGGTCACATTTAACTCCATTGTAGACCTATGTCATTTCTTGTTCCAACGGTGCCTTGGTGTACATGTATGTGCGGTGTAACCCCCATGTACATGTACAGTACGTGTAGACTGACAAGTATATTACTTACTCATGCGATTGACCGATTAATGTGGCTATCGTTTGCTTACAGCAAGTGATTTCAAGGTTTGCCTGTGTTTTTGTCAAACCAAAATGTACGTGTGATTCTGAAAACTGTTTGGAGACACTGTTTGATAAGCACAGAAAAGTAAATTGCAAAAGTTGAAAGGCACAACAGGATGACATGCACTGTACAGGTAAAGATGCTTCAACGAGAAATATTTCCTTGTCCAAGTCCCACTATGAACTGCTCACTTGTCCTTAGTGTTGATCATTTCAAACCTTACAAAAATCTACCGGTGCATGTACATGCGTTTTACTTGTGTCACTCCAGGATGCAGAAGTTCCGTGTCCAGAGTATACCTGGAAATAATGAGTCACTGGATGAATCCAAACTGTAATCACACTGGGAATGACAGATTGATTAATGTCCTCCCCCCCCAAAAAAATAAGAATTCCTGTAAAGTTGTGGGCATACCGGTACCTTTGTGGATTTATTGTTTAGCAATGGATTCTTGTAATTTGATGACCCCCTTGTCCTTTGGACTTTTTCAAAAGGTGCTTGGCCATGTGCCAGGAAATACACACCTCAAGTCAGAAATTCTGTAAAATTTCCTGGGTAGGGCTTTTGCCTTTTTCCATTGAAAGCAAGCAGAAATCCCTATTCCATTAATTGAAATCCCAATTGGAAAGCTTGTTCCCACTATTTTGCCTAGAAGCTTACATGTAGGAACGACAGGTGTTCGCACCTGTGGATAATGCCTTCACATTCTCTGGGGAGAACTGTCTTGCCAAAGAGAGACCCTGTCACTTGCCCGGTCGGTGGTTGGTCAACACGCTCAGAAATCAAGAATCTACCATGTGTGTGTACTGAACTGAGACTCTGAGATGAAAAGAGTGTCAAATCATGCAGTTACATGTACACTGATTTTTAGTTAATGTTCGTAGTGATTGTTACAGAGCTTGAAAGAAAAAAAAAGCCCTTCGGGCTGAGATTCTAGTTAAGTGCCGAGTGGGCAGATTTTTCCATTAGGTTGACAGTCAGAATAATTGGATTGTCAGTTAATTGTAATCGTAGATTTAATGGCCCTAACATTTAGTTCTTGGAGGTGTAATAAATACCATTTTACCTTGACATTTGGGTCAGCATTAAAGTGCCTGAGCTGTGAAATTTTTGAATGTTGCGGTAACATTTTGGGGTTGTGGAAACAGTTTGTGGGGGGGAATTGCTGAGTAAACGGAGGTGAAGAATGGGCATGTACTTCATAAAGAGGCCAAATCCAATTTGTGTGAGCCCAACCATGGCATTGAGAGCTCGTTTCTGAGCACGCAGACACAGTCAGTTGCCCCGGCAGCTGTTGCTGCCGGTGAATTTTAGTGCCGAGAAGAAAAGGAAGGGAGGGGGGGAACATTAACCATCTGTTGGCCGGGAACAGGTGTGGAGTATGTGTGAATTTGCGGTCAGGAGCCTGGACTTCACCCCTCACACCCCCTATGCAGTTGTTAGTATTATGAGCAGGATCTCATCTTTGAATTGATTGCCATAAATCAGTCCAACTCCAGTTCCCTTTCAGGTACATGTAAGGCCGGATTGTCCATTGCTTTGTGTACACTTGTACGTATATTGAGGCACCACACAATTGCGTTCACTTTGACACCGTAAAGATCAAGGTGTCAGTTGAATCTGTTTATGACACCAACTTTCCACTGGAAAGGGGAACCAGCCTTGTGCCAGAGAATGGGTCAACTGAGTGTATTGTATTTGGTGTGTATATCCCAGGAGAGACATGGGAAAAAAAAACCTGGTTGAAGTCAAAAACGTGGTAGATTTTGATACTGTGGGCAAAATGCCCAGTAAGTTGAAAACTTTTTCTTGCCACAAAAGAAAAAAATCTGATACCTGTGGGGAATTATGACAAAAAAAGCTTGCCGAAGTGATAATCAGCAGGTTGACAATAGAGCTAAATGCCTGATCAGTTGATGACTTTTTGCTGTCTATTCAGTGAAGGATGCATTCAGCATCTCTGGATGAGTTGAATAGGAAGTTGTGGAAATGCACGGAATCCGGCTTTCTGTGGCTTCGACATTTGATTGATTTGGCTGCCATATGCTCTGTAAACACAGTAAACAATATACACATACTCCAAGTTTTGAAGCCCCTCACTATTAAACTAGTTGGGATTCGTGAATCATGATTAAAGGGTCAGAGGTTGGAAACCCAGCTGCTGCCCACATGCTGTGTCCGTCGGTGAGCCACATGTCTCTCTCTGCTCAAGAGCCGGTGTACCGGTATATTCAAATTGGCACCCATATCAGCTGTGGAACAACCTGCGATGGACTGGCATCCCATCCAGAGGGAATAAAAATACCTTGTCATGTGCATGTCACTGAAACCGGAGATGAAGGCCAGCCTGATAGGTCACATGGGCTCAAAACAGATTTTATTTTAATACCCTCTGACGGAAGTGAACTGAAAGGGATTTCAGATGATCATCAGTAGGTGCAAAAACTGTCTTAAACTTGATCTCTTAAACTTGATCAATAGTGCCTTAAGTTTGTTCTGAAGTCGCAGTCTCCACTCACAACACAGGCAAACTTTTCCTGAGGCGTGCAGCATACTATTTTCATAAAAGGCTCCACCGACCGAAATGCAGTTCATTCCCAAATTTCCCCCTCTTCAACAAATTTTGGAATTAATCATTTTAAGAGATGGGGGAGGGGGCAGTGAAAGAGGCTGACCCCCGAGGATCAGAATCGGCTGAGAGCGGGGACTTGATTTCGCCACCGAAAGGAGTGGAGCCAGTGTTCCAGGTCCAGAGCTTACCGTCGATCCTGTCCTTAACCTGGTGCGCGTGCAGAGTGGGCCAAGTGCGTACTGGTACCGATACATGTACGTGTGTGTGCACGTGCATATTGTTCCATACCGAAGGTGGGTGTTGGCGGTGAACAGTCTGGGATTGTGATCATGCCTATGGGCCCCAAGCGGGACCAAGAGAGGGTGCTATTTTCCTAGCAATGGAGGGTCCTTTGGTAGGAACTCGATCTACATGTACTTCGCTGATTCATGATCAACTGAGAGATGCGTGCATTGCACACACGTCGCTGCCAACAAAATGAACACTCCCCACCAGCGTGGCTCTTTTCCACCAATGACGGCATGCTTCTGCTCAAGGCGGATGAACCCGACAAGACTGGGTTGGATGTACTGTACGTGTGCGTACATGTACGCTACACCCGAAAGTTTCAAACTGGCATGGCCCATCATTATCCAAATGATAGGTTCAAACATTAGTGTTGAAAAGTGTACTCGGTTAAGAGATGGTTATGGGACTGAGTTCCTCTTTCTGGCAAGCTATCGTTTCGAAGAAAACAAATGAAGAGGGCCATTTCCAGTGATTTGTGTATAAAAGAGGCATTTGTGGAAATTGCCGCAAGTATAGTTCTGCCTCTGGTGAAGCATGCATGCAGTTACCATAATTCGCTGGTGCAGTGCGATGTCATGTAGGTGCACTCAGCCGACTGAGAACGTGTCCTGGATGCTTTTTCAGGCACAATGCAAAATAAAACTCGGCAATTTGTGATTTGAAATCAATATCCAACAATAGTCCTTTTCCCAGAATCTACGGCATTCACATAGCTGGAATCTAATCAGGTCAGTTGTTGGGTGCCCTCACAGTAATACACCGGTGACAAATGATGGAGTGTGGTACCTGTACCTCTATGCATTGCATTCTGCCCAAAAGTTTTTTTCATGGAAGGGTGAAGCAGACTTATTAGGGACATAATCCCCATCTCCGACCCCCCCTCCCCCCAAAAAATTTACATCACAGCTTGGCTCCTTACATGTACCAGTAGTCTTGTATTCAATCATACACAGTGCTCAAGCTGGGTGCAGAATTGATGGGTTTTTGAATCCAGTAGAAGTGAAGGGATATGGGAGTTGCCAAAGCATACTTGATGCGATGGAGCACCTCGACACATACACGGCTCTAGGGAGTTGTCCAATAAGAACATGTCTTTGATCTTTACACAGAGGCAAGCGAGGCTGTGCGTCCAGTTGGACTGAAGTGGATGGATTTCTGCAAGAAACTGGGAGTCGGTGTCCCAGTCAGCGGACGAGGGGGAGAGCCAGCAGGGCGACTCTTCACAGTTGCCGTGATCTGCGCTGTTGCTGGGTTGTCCTTTGCCATAGATAATAGCACCTGTAAGTTTTGTGGTATCGTCACCTGCACATGTATTTACAATTCATTTTATGTAGTGTTCCACATCTTGCGGTTCTCATTGTAAAATATTCCCTCACAAAAACCCTTACGAACCTTTTCTATCACTGACAAGTTACCACGTCATTTGAAAGCATACTTCTTACTCCATGACATGTACGCCAGATCTTGCAATCTAGTACACACACGTACATGCAAGTTGGCAGTTGAGCTACCGGTTCTGTTAGGAAACAGATCGCTTCTGGGAGCCGTTGAGATTCTGCTTCTAGTCAAACTCGGCACCCATGTCTTTTTTTGTGATAAGCAGGGCATACAACCCAAAACATTGAGTTCCCCCTTTCTTCTCACAAGCTTCTTAACACACGAGATATATCTATGAACTTGTCACATGTAGCAATCTGTAATTTACTGGTGTTACTTTCTTGATATTTGAACCTGACTTGCATGAGCTTTCCAGGTAAATCAAAGGAGGTGATATCTCATTTCTGAGAGAGTCTGATATCACCTGGATTACAAAAGTATTAGGGGGGGACACAGGTTTTTACGCGAGCGAAATTGTTGACCCAATACCTTCTGCTGGTAACGTAAACATTTGAATGTTCAGTCCAATAGTTTTATCATGTTTGAGTTCGGAACAGGTTAAAGTGACCTCCACATTTTTATCCAAATAAATCTTTGCTTTTGCATCTCAGTGGTGATCCAGGCAGAGCGGGTTGTGGTCCGAGTGAACAGCACCATCCGGTTGAATTGTTCTCTTGCTCAGTCGGGCCAGCAAACCGAGGCTGTAAACATCGCGTGGACGCGGGATGGACAGCCCGTCCCCAATGCTCAGATCGAGATGTCGGGCCCGGCCACGTCCCAGTTCGTGCTCAAGAGTGTGCAGTTTGAGGACAGTGGCATCTATGGTTGCCGTGTGGATGACCTTGCTCCCCCGCCGACTGTCAAAATACAAGTTGGACGTGAGTTTGTTTGCATTCTAGCGGAGAAGTTTGGCCCATTGTGGGCGACATTTTTACATTCTAGTCGCGGCACAAGCTCCAACAGTTTACTTCGTGTAGCCAGTGTTGTATTCAAGTCCATCACAAGTCCCTTCACAAGTCCCTTCACAAGGCTAGTCATAAGTAATGGCAGACAATAACAAAGGAATGCTTTAGTCACAGCTCATTTGAATGGCTTGTGAATTGGCTTGAGACTGAATGACTTGTGATGGACTTGTGATGGACTTACAGGGACTTGTTTGCTTTGTTGCTGGTACCTGTAGTGTTTGTCATGGCTTTTGCCACAGAAACTTTCAGGCCATTCATGTGTTCTTCTATGGCCAGATTCTCCAGTAGCCACCATGCGTAGAGCCTACTAAAAATTCAGGGTCTTAAAAAAATCTCAGGGCCAGTGAAATATTACATTGTGCTTCTCTGTTTGAGTGTTTGATTTTGGGAATGCTTTGACTATAGTACAGGTCAGAATTCTAGCCGACTCGCAAACACGAACAGTGAACCTGACATGCTGTTCATGCACACTTTGTAGTTTTTTGTATGCACTATTGGTCCAATACACGATGGACCAGGCTTGGGACCTCATTATCTTAATGGGCTTGTGACTGCAGACCACAGAGGTCACCAACAACCTACAACGTGTAGTGAACAACTGCACACGTAGTGCCGTGAACACTGCATTAGTGAAATCATGTCGCCCTGCCAACAAGGTGACTGGGACAGGTGAAGAAGTATCGTGGTACAGCTTCCTTCTTTCGTTCTGGACCACAAACATTATTCATTGGGATTGCATCTAAATATTTTCAACATTCAGTGAAACTGGTCAGTAGTCCATAGTCTGCCTTGTGTATTTGGACACAACATGTATTCAATTATTTTCCAAATTTAAGCTTGCGATCGACTGAAGTGATGACGATGCTTGTCCTAGCTCTGGATCAGTTATAAGCAGCTCCAGATTGCGACAAAAACTTCTTCACAAACAAAAGTAACCATGGGAGAATTTTATTCTCAGCCGGGATCGTTTTACATGTAGCAAACGGATTTCTTAATTGAGAGAGATTTAGTTCATACACCAGAATTCCAGTAAATTAAAAACATTGAACTTGCCTAAATTTTGACTCAACTATTTCAGCTGCACAGTGAGTTATATAACTTCCCCGCGGACGCGTAGGCCACGAAATGAAGAAAGTACCAGGTCATAGTACCGGAACACGTACATACTGCAAGCGTAGTGCGCTACCGGGCAATCACGAAATCACAACCGCCTCAGCACTTCCATCCCAGCCACCAATCATAAAACGGAACATCAGTATTGCACATATTAATAAAAAGGCATCACCCGTACATGTACGGCTACAGCCCGTTGTGCGTATCTGGCCGATGCCGACCTTCAGCGCTGTTAAAATGGTCATTCATCGGTTGTCAGTTGAGTATGCGGGTGATTCCCAAACTGAAGTTAGAGATGATTTGCCACCGTGACATGCTAGGGTTTCAGCATTCATTCTGATTGGCTGGTGTTTTAGGGCACAGGTTTGGTCGTATCCCAATATAAACAGCTACCGATGGGCAGTGGTCGCTGCTCACTGAGTGCACATGGAAGAAATATGTCCGGAAATTGTCCATCTTGTTATGCTAACATTTTAGTGGCCTTGGTCACATTACTGGCACGACGAAGCTTGAAGCATTACCTGGGCCCAATCTTATCTAACATGCCTCTCTTAGTTCTGACTTTCATCCTTTTTGGTGCGATCTTTGCCATTTATAGTTTGGTCTTCATTTTGTCGTAATCGGCGTGATCTCTTTTAGTAGATTTTCCAGCTCCACGGTCATAAACGGACTGGAAAAATCACCACATTGGATTGAGTTTCACTTTTACAATTTTGTACTCACTGAGCTCGAGTATGGCAACAACTTTCTTTGCTGATGCTAAGATTGCCGCCTTGTGGCTGTCTTGACTAAAATTTGGCAAGAAGACCAGCTAGGTTGAACCCTTTTTTGATTCTGTTGATTTCTTAGACATACATGTACATACAGTAAAGTAGTTTTCTCTAATTTAAGAAATGCTTTGCCATAAAATCTGCTAGTTTTCGTTGTGTAGGCTGAAAAATGGGTTTCTTCCTGGATTGTTTTCTGTGCCCGACTCAGAAGTTTTTGGAGTGATCCGAATCTGGCGAAACCAAACAAGGAAAAGTGTCCACGGCGTCGCATTTTTGCCGCGGCTCTAAGTCCAAACAAAAATCTTTGAAAAATATTTTGTGATATATCGTACATATGAGGTAAACTGCCGACCACATTCAGCATTTGAGAACTAGTTGAACTGCAATTAAGCTCGATATTTTCATAACCAAAACTAGGGAAACGACTATGTTGGTCAACAGAACAGAGCACTAGCTGTTCTGCAGTTTGCGTGTGGCGTGTGTCAGATTATGCTGGGTAGATTGGATGACAGTGTCGACGTTCTTTGTTATGCTGGGGTCGGCGTGTTTAGTGCCTGCAGTTAACTCCTTCCATGTCTGTTGGACTCAGTACCTGCTGACACGCTGTAGCGTGTATCGTGTCGGCTAAAAATCTGACCTGTACTGAAGTTGGTGCCTAGCTCACTGGTGCAGCTCAGCATCAGTGCGACATGCAAGGCTCCAGTGCTTACCGGTAATTACCCCCAACCCCCCCAGGGACCATTGAAATCCTGCATAAACCTGTTGGGTTCAGCATAGATAGGGTTATGAAACGGGTGCTCATTCAAACTAAACCCAATTAACCACTTCGGACCGAGGCATTTTTCAACGTTGAGGATGCTGGGCCGGCAT